CATAGAGATTTCAATATTCTGATCTATCCTACTATATATAATCCGCTAAGTTTGTCTGTTGGTGTGTGTGTGTGTGTGTGTGTGTGTCTGTATGTGTGTTGACCGGAAATTCATAACTTCCTTCAAAACAGCGATAATGCGCTCAAACTGATAAGTGATGTAGGAGGTCGGGCAGGAACATTATTGGTGGGTGGCAGGAAGTGATAACAGCTGATAAGATAACATGAGGAGCCTTAGAAGGGAAGGATCACCATCTCCATAACGCGCGTCACAGCGACGCTAGGACTTTGGTTCCAAGAAGTAGGATTATGGGCAAGATGGGAACATCATTGGCGGGTGGCAGGAAGTGATAACGGCTGATAAGATAATTTATTTAACAGAGATAAGATATGAGATTTAAGATAACATAAGCAGCCGGAAGGGCCACTAAATTCATAGCGCCGGCCACAGCAACGACGGGACGTTGGTTCCAAGAAGTAAGATAGGGGGCAGGATGGGAACATTATCGGTGGGTGGCAGGACGTGATAACAGCTGATAAGATAACAACAGGAGCCAAGAAGGGAAGGGTCGCCAAATTCGTAGCACCGGTCACAGCGACGATGGGACGTTGGTTCCAAGCAGTAAGATAGGTGGCAGGATATTGGTGGGTGGCACGAAGTGATGACAGCTGATAAGATAGCCCCGGAAATGCACAGCGGACTTGTAGCCATACTGGGGAACTTCTCTAGCAGCGGACTTGTAGCCATACTGGGGAACTTCTCTAGCAGCGGACTTGTAGCCATACTGGGGAACTTCTCTAGCAAGTAAGTCAAAGGAGCTCACGGAACATTAAAGGTGGGAGATAAATTCTGACAGTGTCAAGGGCTTTTGGGAGTCAGTATATGCTCACATCACCGTAGCCAAACGCATCAACGAAGGCTTAGTGAGTCAAGATGTTTCTATCCCTTGGCAAAATCCCTCAGTTTAGCGGTCGGATTCGCTTCCACCCCACCGCTAAACGCTCAAGTTCCACCGGAAAGAGGATGTCTGTCGAGTGTTTATTTGTGCCTTCTAGCGTATCGGTTCGCACGTGGCGTGTCAGCTGCGGCTTCGTTTTGGCGATGCCAAATCGTTCTCCACCAGCTGTTGACGCGGAGCTCAGTTGACAACACTTCAGTATATACGCGTTTAGTTTTCTCCCTTTTCTACACTTTTTATCGCATGGCGCCTCAACAAAGAGGCACCAAGAACGGCTCTGACGGCGTGACACATATACTGCCTGACTCGCCAACGTCTGCAGTCGACTAGAGTGTGCACAGGAGGGAATGATAAAACCATTGTGATTCGATATTTTCCATCGAAATTGCTTCCAACGCTATCTGTCACTATTTGAACGAACTGGAATGAATGGTTGCCTTTAGAAATATGACTAAGCACACCCAACATCGCGCAAATTGCTTCATTAAAAGAAGAGAAACGTGCGGAAATTGGGCCTGTTTTCGAAACATGCGAACTCTGCCTGTGTCCGCTTAATGCTCAGCAGAGAAATCGCTGTCGCTATCAGTACCATAGGTTTAACCGTGCGCGCTGTAATGCGCGTCAGCCAGACTGGTGTTCAAACAATTGATTAGCAGTATGAATAGTTAGCATCGTAAGTACATAGATGACTAAATATTATTGCTAACAGACTTTGATGGTTCTACTTCCCCCCAAACCCTAGACAAACATCACTATATGTAATCCGCTAAGTTTTCTTGTTCGTGTTGGTGTGTCATGAATGTTGTATGTCTGTCTGTATGTGTGTTTCGACCGAAAATTCATAATTTTCTTTAAAATAGTGCTGAAGCGTTCAAATTCATGAAGTGATGTAAGGGGTCGGGCAGGAACATTATTGGTGGGTGGCAGGAAGTGATAAGAGCAGATAAGATACCATACCGGGGCTTAGAAGGGAATGGTCACCAACGAGCGTCATAGCAAGGCTGGAGCGTTGGCTCCGAGAAGTAAGATAGGAGGCCGAATGAGAATACTATTGGTGGGTGGCAGGAAGTGATAACAGGAAGTGATAACCATAAGGAGCCTTAGAAGGAGTGAGTTATCTAAGTTCATAACACCGGCCACAGCAGCGTGGGACGTTGGTTCCAAGAAGTTAGATAGGGGGCAGGATGGGAACATTATTGGTGGGTGGCAGGAAGTGATAACAGCTGATAAGATACCATAAGGAGCCTTAGAAAGAGTGAGTTACCTAATTCATAACACCGGCCACAGCAGCGATGGGACGTTGGTTCCAAGAAGTTAGATAGGGGCAGGATGGGAACATTATTGGTGGGTGGCAGGACGTGATAAGCTGACAAGTTATCAGAGGACCTTTTCGAAAGAGGGTGCCCCGGATTTAGCACGAGTTGTAGCAACACTTCCTTACTCTGCTCAGCCTGAACTTCAGCACCGGTGCCAAGAAACAATGGTCAGAGGCTTAGTCAAATTCTATCCCTTACAATTAGTGATATGGTTGGGACTGATTCGACCGCTAAGCTCTCGAGTTTCGACGAAAATTAAAAGCCCTGGAAGCTGCTCAACGGAAGTACTAGGATGTGAGAAATGTGAGGATATTTCACCATGATATCGATGTTATTACCATCGAAAGTCTTTCAACCGCTAAGCTGTCCTATTTCCAACGGATGGTGAGTGTTTCTTAGAAATGTGATAAGCACCAGACATTAGCAAATGTTCATTAAACAGGAGAAACATAATGAAATGGAATTGCGAAAAATGAATGAATATTCCGAAAAATTGTAATCGGGCCAAGTGTTTGGGGTCAATACAGTCAGCGATCAGTACCATTACCATAGGTTCAACAATGCGAGCAGTAGTGCGCGCAGCCCAGCTGGTCTGGTTATATGGACAAAAATCATCTAAAATTGGAAGGTACACCATTCCACCACCTCTGCGTGGAAGCGTATCTATGGCGCACATTTGGTTATCATCGGATCAGCGGCGCACTCTCGGACCAAACCGATCGATGATAGCCAAATTATGCTTTGACTCAGTACAACGGGAATGTTTTGAAGACATATTGAAGTTGAAATGAAAGCCTCACGATTTCCACCCGGCCAACAGAACTGCTTCACCGCTAATTTGCTATGGAATCACAAGGCGGCCGCAAGCACTTGCAAGACTTCACGTATCTAGTCCCTCTCGTCAAAGCAATTAATTAGTATCGGAAAAGGGGAGTCGTACCAGGGATCCTTTTCTGGGGTAGAGGTCGTACTGGCACCGCCATTTCACACATCACGATGGTGTACCCTGAACTGTTCACTCACTTCCGAGTATCCTGCATGGGCTTCGTCATGTGCGAGGTGAATTGGTCCGCAGCTGCAATAGCGTATTAGATTCTCCGGTGAGGCCTGCACGAGAACGAGGCTGGAGAGCAGTCCTAGTATCGTCACCATACTCTGTGTGCGTATGGAGTCGTACATAGAAAATACATGGACAATCGCGCGCTTGATCATAGCCAAACGCGCTACTTGTCTGCGCCCTCTCATATCTGGTTGTTCTCCACCGCTAAGTATGTGTTTCTGTGCGCGAATTTGGTATGAGGCATATTCCGCACGCAGAGGATAGCGCGGGTGGAGCATGGGTAAAGCATTCGGGACATTCACTCATTTTTCAGCGCAGAAAATGAATAGAAAAACTACAGCTGCGACTGGTGAATGGTCTGAAACATGGCAAGGAGCGTCCTCGGGTGTGAGTGTAGAGCTTGCCTCCAGAGGCACTTGCCGCGATCACACCCGAGGACGCTCCTTGTCGTGGTCGTCTTCCAAATCTTAGGTGAACCACCCAAGAATCGTATCTGAACCCCTGACGTCTATCCTGCCATTTGAATGAGTTCAAGCACGGCACTCAGGGCAATAGTAAAACCGCTGGCTATATGGATAGCACGGCATCCACGGCGAGCGTAGGACCAAACGCTACATAGATATGCGTCAGTGCACTTCAGTTATTTCGCATAACCACGCACATTGACAGGATTGCTGCAAGCTTCCCGAAAAACTTGAAAAATTCCGCGCAAGATGTCATTCGAGTGGCTTTCGAAGCCCGCTCCGTCCGTCTGAACAATTTCTGAGTTTGCTAGGGTGGGGGTGGAAGTTGTAATAGTTGCCATCTTGTTTGGACCAATTTGCTTGCCCCATATCATCGGTACTGGATGATCATTTTCGTGGTTACTTCGTATTTGCTACAGAACGTTTTTACTTTTTCTTTTTCTAGAGTCAAGACATAGAGGATTTGTCGACGATGGACATGTTGGGAGCAGTTCACGACACCAAAATGGACAGTGAAACTAACAGTGTGCTTACAATCGTCTTAGCACAAAGGGATCGCTTGAAACTGCGTGTAGGCGCTCTAGAAGAGGTTGCTAGTTATCTGTTGGAAACACTATCCAACGCTTGACTAAAGGGTTCAGCCTAAATTTACACCTGCTCCAAATTTTTCTAGGACCTAATGGCTGAAAAGACCAAGCAGTCGGTGCTTCAAACAGAAATTGAGAAAGTGCGTGACGACAACGTGAAGCTGTACGGCAAGATAAAGTTCCTTCAAAGCTGTGGTACGCTTGTGAAACCATTTGGATTTCCATTACATTGCACTCATGATTAGGGCCTGACCTTTGCCTTGGTCAGCATTTTTGTAAAAAAACCAGTATAAGGGGCGCCTGTTGTGGATAGGTATGGCTACGCCAACCATGCCTTAGTCGGGCCAGAATTTGTTCAGAGTTACAATGTTGCTATGGGTTGACTCAAGAGGTGGGGCCTTATTTTTGATGCGTAGGATTTACGCAGTCTTCCGATTTCAGGTTTCCCCTCCAGAATATAATCTTTTGCCGTGCAATAGCTCGATACTACCACTTAGTTGTAATGGTTACATCGATCACATGATGAAGGATTTCTTTGCAGGGAACAAGTCTTCTGAGACGAGCGTTTCACTACCAGAGGAGAGCAGCTATAGTGCGCAGTATGAACGTCATTTGGATCCATTCCAACGATTCGGACAGGCCGAAACGCAGCGGGTCTACACTCGTCTACCGATGCACGACCGGGCATCACTCAGTATTGTAAGTGGAATAAGACGATTTAACACCTAACGAAGGGGCGTGAGGTCGACAGGGACGATTTCTGAGATGTATCACATTGTGATGACTGATAGAAGGCGATCCAATTATGACCTTTTTGCTCCTTTAGCAAAAAACGGATAGGATTGAGCTGCTTATCTGAAAAGTTGGGCTTGAAGGGACAAAGAGTCCAGTCACGTTCTCTGGCTAATCATCCTGAGTTATTTAGCTGGTTGTAGAGTAGCAGTTACTTTATAGGTGTCTGAAGAGGCGTTATTAGAATTGAGACAGCTTGGTGATGGTCTAATGAAGAGCTATCCCATTTTTTTAGGGAAGAGCGATTATGACGTCAGCATCAGCACGAATGACATTCTTCTTCTACTTAGTTGTACTGCATTTGCTCGTCTTCTTGGTTAGTTTCAATTTGTTTCCCACTTTCCATCGAATATTGACCTGCTAATGTGATATTCTGGCTAAGATATGCCCTTGCATGATTTTAGGGCCCGATTCCGCATCGAATTTTTCCTGAACACATGCCAACCCTTGTATACCTATTGAGTTCAGGGCACGCCATTGCGTTGTGATCATTTCCTGGGAAAATACGACCCCCCCTAATTCCATCTTCAAGTACGACCCCCCTCCCCATGTTACCTCTTCCCTAGATTTTTCCAACCTCCTACCACTTTGTCTATTTTTTTCCCAAAAAATTTCTGGTTTTTTTACAAAATTTTGCTGTCGAGCGGGGGGGGGGGAGGTCGCAGTACCTACGTACGTCCCAAGCACGTCCAGCACTCTGGCGCTGGTGTAGCATACTGACAATACGTACGAGGAAGGGGCGATGATAGGAGCTACGATCACCGCCCACAAGGGCACCATGAATTTATAAACAATGGAAAGGACTTACGACTGACGATGAATAAACAGACGAAAGTACATTCCCGGACTTTTCTGATTGCAGGAGCACATTTGCTTGCAATTGGGAAGCCCTATCTAGAAGTTACACCTTCCAAACACCTGCGTGAAAGCCCCACGCATGGCGCATTGCAGAGGTGATGCCATTTGGCGCCCAATAGCCTATTCCTGATACCCTTTGTGGAAACATGTGTTTCAGAAGCAAACCAAAGTCTTCAAGCCAGCTGGAGGTTTCCTGGCCTCGGAGGGGCTGATTTTTCGTGTCGTGAAAGGATGGTTACGAAATGATCATAACGGGGAATTTTTTCGAATAGCAGGCCTAGGAAGAAAATTAAAGCCTTGCTGGAAAGTAGAAATCTTCAAGCTTCCGGCACAATTCTTTTTTTACGAAAGGCCGTGTATGAAGCTTGCCATGGACGTCCAAAGCGTAGCGACTCGCGGTTCGCAAAAATGATCACAGACGGATCACAACGATGATCACAACGGGGAAAATCTCTGGAATCGGAACGTTTTTGAAATCGCTCAATTCAGGTGACAAGAGCCAACCTAGCTCTACTCATTCCCACTTACCCCTCTCCGATAGCTTCACTTTCAACGAAGTTATGGGTGTTCAAATGAGGGGTACTTTTCACGTGTTTGGCTTGAAATTGGCTCCAGGCCTTAAAATAGCGCGCACCAATGAGCTTGTATGAGCGCGCTGACCGATTGTGTGACATCTAATCCGTTCTATGCGGCGAGAGTGCAAATCTCCCCTAGCTGTCGGTACTCTCTCGTTCTCTCGCACTCGGATCGACTGAACGGTAATCGCGGGTTTCTTTTTCAAAATTATTGGACTCACTAGTGGGAACGTAAGGTGCTACAGTCAACCTGTTGACTTTTGGGGAGGTCAACAAAGGCTTAAGAGTTTTCTAAGTCACAGAGTGCATCCCCACAGTTTTCATTTCCTTATGTTCACATGAGTCGGGATCTTTTGCATGAATAAAATGTGTCTACCCGGAACTTTCGTGCAACAACCCCTCCTTGGGTTTCGCAGAAGCTCAGCGGGAAGGAATTAGAAAAAAAAACGATTTTCCCGAGTTCACTTGACATCTGAGTTCTTTTTCCTCAGTAGTGTTCACATGATTATCCGGCCTCAGGGCACCTGTCAACCGGGAAGCCTCTCTTCTCTTTCCTTTTTTCTTTCTCCCTCCTTCATTTTCTCCCTCCCTTTCTCTGATCCCTCCTTCTTTATCTTCTTCCTTAAACTAGTGGACAGGTAGATGCCCCGAGAAAATACCTCTGAACCCTCGCAGCGAGAGCACGTCTGGTCGATGTGCCCCGTAACCTGATTATCCAGGTGAAGTGTTTCGATACCCATGATGACTTCAATCACTTCATTTTGGTCAAGTATACACTGCCCTTAGTGCAGAAGCGTGCTAATGTCTAAGGTTATCTTCGTTTACTACTGAATAGCTTAGCCTCCACCAATATTCTCAATATCACCCTGCTCACGTTGAGAGCAGGCTGACCGTTCTTCAAGTTGGTGAGTCTCTCTGCGTGCCTGACCGCAGCGTGCTCTCCCGTCTGCGTCTGGCCTCGAGAACGAGACGCAGAGAAAAAAAACGGATTAGTTGTCCTAAGACCGCGCTGACCGCGAACAGCCAAAATTCAAAAGTAATCCATAGTTCCGGTTCCCAGCTGGCCTGGTGAGTTTTTTTTCTTATCCATTTGATTGGGGAATTATTTTGATTGCTTGTTTTTGTCGATTTGATTATGTTTTGTTGAGTGATTTTGTTGTCAGGAAATTGCTCAGGATTCAATTCTCTACGGTTTCATAGGTAGCTTTTGCAATGATTTTTTCTAGATTTTGCGGATTAGTGGATTGGGATTTATCTAGACCAGATGAGGAGGGTTGGTGGGCGAAGTGTCTTGAAGTTTTTTGTGAGGAAGGAGGAAAAAGTTTCAGCAATATTTTTTTAGTTCTTGGCCTAGGAATAGTTCGATAGTGCCTAGTTCTATTTATTGTCATCTACATCGTCCCTTTTGAGCTTCTTTTCACTTGTACCGTGTATCACCGCTCTCTCCACTTCAACATGGGCCATGCGTTTACGACCCCCCCCTCCATCGCGGGCAAATACGACCCCCCCGTTGTGATGATCACAAAGATGGCGTGCCCTGATTGAGTTACTCAATTGATAGGAGACCCGTAGGGGAGTATAAAAGCACTACTGATGGCCCAGTTGGACAATATAAGTCTTACTGGGAGTCCGGGGCGTCCTCTGCCTTTCCATTTTGCCGTTGAATTCCCAGAAATAGTGTCAGTATCATCACAGGTATTTGTCTTACCTACCCATATTTTTAGGTATTGTACCGCTTTGCCTACACGGAATCGTGTGAACGCGACTTCCAGCAAGACTGTGTGGCGCGATTCGAGCGTCATATGAGGGAACATCATCCGGGAAGCTCCCATGGGTGACTACCTCAACACAACAGCTTCTACGAACAAATTTATGTTAATCAATGAATATCATTTTCTTCTCAGATCAGGATTTACTGCTACCCCCCCCCCCCTTAGCGGATTATATTATGGTTTGTTGTTCAGGAAATCGTTAAAATGTGATATAATATAAATTATGTGATGCCTGGGTGTTAAATGAGGTCTTTTCGCTGCGGAAAAAGTACTGCATTGATTAACATCTGTGATAATTCATCTTTAATCCGTTTCCGTTTTTGTAAGGGATCTGTTTTCCTTCAGTTTTTTCCTTCCATGGACCTTATTTCTATAATGCAATACGTATTTTACGAAGTCTCTGGAACGGTGATATCTCGTACAAATGTTTATCAGTAACAAAAGGTCCAAGATAAAGTGTTGGAGTTGCTGTCTTCACATCTCGATCGTTCCTAGTGGCCTTCCATTTTTTCGTCATATTTGACTGATTATAGATTTTTTCGTGCATTTATTGATCACGCAATAGGAATCTTCAGGATTTGGTATCGTGAACGAAAAACTCACGTCGTTGTTAAGTTCACCCTTCCCAGCGGAGTGCCTTCTCAGTCGCATACTGACCTCAGTGAGTTATCGCTCATTCTTTCTGGTAACCTCAGTAGTAAGAGAGGCGGAGGGGGGGGGTGGGCAGTAGGATAGTCTGTTACGTATGCTAATCGATTTTTTTTCTACAATGTGGACGAGCGTACGAGAAATACTGGGAACAGCCATTTAAAATTGCTGTACCTGAAACAAAAGTGTGTAACACATTTTCGATTGTCCGGTCTGTACTCCCGTTACTGCTGACCAGCTCTGTGGGCGGTAAGTTGGTGTTAGATTCGTTTGGGAGGGTAAGGTCTCTGATTTGCCCATACATTGGCACATGAATAGAAACCACGCTTTGTTTCCAAAGTAAGGCTCGCGCAAAGTTTTGGGGATGTCTATCAGCACGTTTTCCTGGTTTCAGTTCATGCACGATTCGACGAAATGGAACGGTGTCTTGACAGTGGCCGTGACTCTTCACCCAAATCATCACTGTGGGCGGGTTCCTCTGCCATCCAAGAATCTCTCCACATTACATACAGTGGATTTCTCATTCGACGGTGGGGCGGTCCGCAATCGATAATGACTGTACGCCCATCGAATTAATTTCTGCTTTTTTTCAGCTTCTAAAAGCTGAATTATTCCTCGTCCGGCTTTAATAGGGAAAGGTAAGTAGTATTACTGAAGCTAGGTTTCACTTTGCATGGTTTTAGTCAATAACGTTGAAGTTAAGCGACGGCATTCAAAAGGAGTTCTGAAAATGCGAAAATAGGAAGAAGAATCCAATTCGTTAAGAGAAATCCATGCTAAAATCATGCAAAATGTAATCTGATTTCAGCAAACATGCTCATCTTTCCAATTGAAGTTGAAGAAAGAATTATTTCTGCTCTTACAAGTTCAATGCAATAGAAATACAGCAACAAGCAACAATACCGCAGAAATTGGCTGACTGCCAGCGTCAGCAATTCTCGACCGTCGAGAGTCTAGAAAGAAGAATAGCCGATAGTGCGCTTTGGCGTGTGTTCGAGCCGGGGCACATCATCGTTGGGGATTCCCCGACAGGGCGGTCGTATTTGACAGTCAAAGTGGTGGGGGGGGGTCAGGTCAGTACCGAACAGCACAAAAGTGTCAGTGTGTTGAGTCCTGTATAGCGAAACTCGCTTTGCGGCGAACCCGGATGTGTAAAAAAACAGTGTTTTTGCACATCCGGCTGCAAAAATGCAGTGCAAAAATTATATTAATCAAACTGATACTAACAAACTATTACAAAACCAACTAGAAATATTAATAAGTTGACATAATTTCGTAACTACGTAGATGACTAAACAGGCAATGTATACCCTGGTTCGCTGCAGATGATCGGGCGTGTCTGCGCGGCTACGCTTGGCGCCCATCTTAGGCCGCGTTCATACATGACGACATTGCAGAAATGACGAAAATGCAGCTAGAGAAAAGAATAGGTATCGATATGAAAAACCACGGAATCGAGAGAAATGCAAAAGTGGAGAAATGCCGCCATTACAGATAAAAAAGTGATAGGGATCGATCGCTTGGTTTCTGCCGTCATGCGGAATTGGGAGAAATGCGGAATCTGCAGGAATGCCGAAACGACGGACAGCGACTTGATAGGGATCGATCGCCATCGGGAATGCGGAGTTTGCAAAAGTGCCAAAATGCAGAAATTTCGGTGCTAACGTATTTGGGGGGGGGGACCACGCGGCTCGCGGCGAGTGATGACTCATCGGCTCTTCACTCATCGGCATACTTGAAGCGCGATTCTAGCAGTCAAATTAGAATAAAACAAACAAGGTTCACCGGGAACTTGCTGAGAAATCCCACGGAAGCCGAAAACAAATGTTTGATCTTTTGTAGTCAACAATAACAGTCAACAACAAACAGGCAACAAAATTTTGTAGTTGATTCAAAAATCTTCCAGCCCACAACTGTTTCTTCGGACTTTTTAGCGTTACTGTATTAATATAGCTAGGTCGGTGTTATATCCATGTCCTAAACACAAAATTACTTCTATTTTGCCGAGGAGGGAGCAGAAGAGCAGATGAGCCCCCAAATACGTTAGCACCGAAATTTCAGCATTTCTGCAGATTCGGCGGTTTTTGGAATCGATAGACATATTTTCTTTTTCTGCAAGTTCCGCGGTTCTCCCAATTCCGCAGGTCTGCAAATTCCGCGGTTCGGCATTTCTGCATCATATATGAACGCGGCCTTGCCTGTTTTTTCTTCCGACAAACGACACGAGTACCGTATCGTTCATATCAATCGTTTTTGAGCAGCTGATGTTGCTTATCGGACTCAGCAGTTGGTGGAGCACGCGCGTGCCGTCAAATCCGTTCTCCATCAGTTGCGCCAAACGTGATGATGGGGCGGACGCGCCCCACCATCTGCACGGACACAAGACTGTAAACAAGTGCGTAGGTAGGCCATGGACCTCCTGGAATCCTATAAACACATCTGCTCGCGTAGACAGGCACTGCGTAGTTGCACCATCGCACTACCTCTGCGTGGGAGCCTAAGCATGGCGCATCCAGAAATGAAGCTAGTGGGCGCTGAACCAATCATTGCTCACTCCTATTCTACGAAGGGATCCGTTCTGGATGCATTCTTGGATATATGAATAGGAGTATTTCTCAGAAAATCTCCAACGTTTCAATCTCATGAATCTCATGAATCTCGAAAGCTTCAGAAACAGTTCAAGTGGTTTTTGGAAAACACATATCGTTCAATATCACAAAACTGTTCTTGTATTTGCAAACGGTTGAGTTGAAAGGAAATTATTTCTACTCAAACCAGGAGAGCTTGCATCCAATTTCGAAAACTCCCAGCTAATCTCCAACGCTGGATTTCTCTCTAAATCAGGCAACCTTCATGAACATTTCAGTGAAATTCGGAAGGATCAAATCTTTTCCAGCACAACTTTTTCCTTTTTACCCGACCGTCTTCTCTTAAAAAAGTTATGGCTTTCCTCGAAAAAGCTTGCTTCATTTAAGGGTGTATGGGGAACTCCCCCTGACTCCAATTTAAAGGACGCAGACGCGCGAATTCAACTTTCGAAGCGCAATGCCCATGCACTGTAGTCCGGTGTGGTGGATGTTACCTATAATCGCCACTAGTCATGCATGCAACTGCGCACGGGGCACCGTACCGTAACTTCACGGCTAGTTTTATTGGTGATCCGTTCATGTTGCTCACAGTTTGAATTGAATAATTGGCACAAACAATTAGGGCAAATGATTGGATGTTGATATCAGCTATTTTCGGTTGCTACGTATTATTTTCAGCTGTGGTTTATATTCGCATCATAGAGAGTAAGAATGTGTGACATTGAATGTCATCTCAAGAAACTGTACTCTGTAACAAAAGTATACAATGAACGGTTCAGTTGGGATGTGCTTGTGAAACGTTCCCTATTTTGGAAAGAGGAGTGTTAGGAGTTACCCCCCCCCCTTCCTCCCCGCTCAGCAGCAGAATTTTCGGAAAAAACTAGGAAAATTGTCGGGAAGTTCCGGAAGAACTGGTAGGAAGCTGTGAAAATCTAAGAAGTGGTAGGTAAGATGGGAGAATGGGGGATTGAGGGAAGGTCGTATCGAGCCGCCTCTGGGGGGGGGGAGGGTGGTCGAACGGACACGACCAACATCTCCAACTAATGATGTGCCCTGGATCGAGCGCAGAATCAATGTCAGAGAGTGAAGATGTCACCAAGCGTTTCCCCGAAACGGCCGATAAACTCAAGAAATCTTCGACAGCAACATACAGTTGTCATGATCTGAGCAGACATCTCGGCATATATGGGTTGTGTGAAAGGGTTGGGAATTCCTTCCCGATGCTCCCAGTCCAAAATACTCCAAATTGCTACCAACCCATTGTCCTGGGTAGGTTCTTGAGGTTGCAAATAACGAAGCTTTTTGTGAGAAGGAGTATGGGAAGGATCGGGCGTCATGGCGGCAAAAGCGCTATGGACTGATGCCGGAAAACCGCATGGGAGAAACTTTCCGAAGTTATAAACATTTCACTCTCAAGGGAAATACAGACGAAAAGCAAAAGGAATACATCGGCGTACCATCCTTAAAGCGGTTTGCTCGAACAAAAAGCTCATATCAGATCATCTTTTAAAACAAAATGAGATACCAGTAACATTTGAAGGGCAGATTCAGAATTACAACAGTGACTGTTGATTCGACACGCTAAGACTTCGGGAGGAAAATAACGAAAAAAAATTTTCAAAAAGTTTTGGGAAGAGCAGAATTTCACTCGAGATGTCGTTCTCGGGAGAAGAAACTTTTTTAGGAAATATTTCCCATATGGGAGCTCACATCGATTGAGCAATCTCCAGGCTTTCCTTGGAGGTCAGGAGTGACTGGGAGTGAGCTTCTTTTTTGAGAATATCAAAGAGGCTACGGTAAGCAGCGTGGAGACGCAAACTGTCAATGAGACGGCAGATCCCAGCGCCATCGTGTCCTTGGCCAAACAGATCGTGGAGAATTCAGTCGACGACACTGAATTAGCTGCTTTTGACGCTGTGCTGTCAGTGAACAAGACAATAACAGGGCTAGAACTACCTACCTTGAGCAGCATAGTTATAGTTGACGACATCGTCGTCAACGGTCAATCGTCCCGTCACGATGATGACATTCTCGTCATGTTGGTCGACTTCAGAAGCGGTGCTTCGCCGCAGCCGATGCGAATTCGCATTGCATTTCTGAAAAATGAGCAGAACTTCCCGAATATCCCACTGATTTTCGGAGAACCACTTACAAAGTTATTCCCACACAGATGATCTTCAGATTTCCCAGTCAGCAACAGATGTTCCGATCTGAATAAGAAAACTTTCAGGAACTGCTTTTGGCGCATATCATTCAAGGAGATGAAGAATGTTCTCTTTACCTTCTTATGCAAAATCGCGCAGCGCATCTGAACCACACATCCGACAAATCGGGGAATTTGAAAGCGATCGCATCAGCGAATGCACGCCGATGATCCTCTGAATACCTGAGTGTGGAGTTATCTGTTATCTCTGATAAGCTGTTTTCGAGAGAAGTGACAAAGCGATCCTATGGCGCGTGTGGCCTTCCTAAGTTGTGAGTGCAGAAGCATTATCAAACCCGAGCGCTTGCCCCTGTTCCTACTAACCGAATGTCCGAAATAAGCGTGCTGTCGAGGGTACAGCCATGTTTGATGATGCTCATTCCACGTCTGTCGTTTGTCTCCGCAGTACAGTCAAGCATTCGCAGTCCATAAAGCTCTGAAGTTAGGTCTCATTAGTGCTGGCTTTTGACCTGGTTTTGTTGCGAGAAATCCCTTTTCACTGTGTAGCGAAGGCTCCCGAAAAGGAACGGCCATGCTAACCTGGAAAGAATAATACTGTACTTTTTTCTCTTTACATGGATTCCTGAGAAGGTCGTTGTCCTGGGGAGCCTCCGTACGGCATATGTCATGTGGTTGATCGTTTCAAGGCTGGTCCGTACATACACGGTCTACAAATTATCGGCAATTGTTCGCTCGTCAAGTGGCCAATAAGCCGAGAATTCGCTGACGATGACCTTTCATGGCGCCATCAAGTGCTCCTTAGTTGACGTGGAGAATATACAAGTGCAAGTCCACTCTGTTCCCTCCCGTTTTTTTTTTCGGTTGCGAACTCCCTCACTGTACTTCCTCCACCTGAAACCTCAATGCCACTGAATGCAACTATCGCATTACCATTCGCTAGTTTAGAAGGCAGCATAGAGTTTGGGCGAGCACCGTCAAAACGTTTGAAGAAGTTCCATCTTTTTGTTCCACTATTCGACGGGCTTGGAGGTTGTACATTTTAGGAAAGTTCTCATTCGGATATCCCTTGGAATATGACAGTCCCGTCTCAAATAGCCGGCTCAAAGAAGCACCACGATTACTAGATAGGCAGAAACCCATAGCAATTGCTCCTGCTTCGTTAGGGCGCTCATTAACTGTGTCATATCAGGACGCCAACAGGATCATTAGGCGCGCTCTGGTGAGGAGGGCACAGAAGGTTCATCAAACATATGGAGCTCTCTATCTATAACCTGCCAATGGGTGATGGGGCTTACACATGTAATTGGCCACATCAAAATAAATGTTTGTGCTCCTCCAAACATGGATTATTTGATTTTTAATAAGGACACTAAGTATTTCCACAGTAGGGGAATCTTCAGAAAATAGGCGAGATCCATTACATTATTATTACATTTGTTAGACATATGGAGAAAGAACACTCACTGGATGCTTCATCAAGAGTCCACATCAACATTAAAGGTTGTCCTACTGGCACTTGGCCAGCGATTTTAGCCGCAGTCGGGACTCTTCCCTGCACTATTTTGAACTCGACTTTCGGTTGTGACGATGTGGCACCATGTACTACTTTCGGCACGATGTCACTGAAACCACTACAGGTTGTTTAGATATGGAAGTACTCTCGGAATGTTATGCGGTGGCTGCTGCATTTAATATAGAAATATTGAAAGTTTGAGCAAACCTACGGCAAGTGGGTAATAGTAAGTGAGCAGCAGTCCCATGCATGGTGCGGAAAATTAACTCTGAGTCGAAACCCACTCGAACCAATAATCCCCTGCGAGCTTGGATAATCTGAGATTTTTCAAAAAACTGAAGGGTAGAAGTAGGTTGTACACTGGTTGGCCAACGACCATACACGGCCCTTTGCAACAACAAGCGAGGGCCAACTGATGTAGAAACTTTGGACCCGAATACAACCTACATTAGAGAGAAGCCGAAAGCATGAGAAAGAGAAAATGATGGACGCACCCCTCCATTATTCTTCTGTAGTGGAGGTGATGTAGTGGCAAGTGGTACGCTCTTTACTCGCACAGTCTTGGGTTGAAATCCCGGGTCGACTCCCGCCCAGGCCAACCAAGCCTTCTACCCTCCGGGGACGGTAAATTGGTACCAGATTCGTCTGGGAGGATAAAACACTGACTTGTACATCGGCTGGCCCCCGCAAGTCATTGTATAGGCCACATCGCATTCAATAAGCCACTACGATTCTGAATGGAAGTAGAATGCGTGCCGCATCCCACAAAGGGATTGATCAACGGCGAAGGCTTTATCCTTTCTCCCTCTATTACACTTCTATTCAACAAACCTTATAAAGTCAAATCGAGCTGATACGGTGATTTGATCCTGTTGGAAGAGGCAGTGAACGGCGAAAGCTCGGTCACCGGCTGTTACAAATGACGGGTGGAAGGCGAAAACGAACACGGAGAAGAGCTCGAGACCTTTCGTCGGCTGCAAGTTTTGGAATTTTTTGGAGACAAGGAGAATCTCATTCCTTAGCACCAAATGTTCAATAAAATCAACGTATAAGGTGAATGTACTCATTCCCGTTTATCATTGACAAAATAGAGACATCCTTCTATTGTGTCACACTTGTAATGAGTGTCTTCTGAAATAGTGAGGTGGAGATATGTGTGAGTAGGAAACCTTGTTCCACACTTCCGAGTCGCGAAAGTGTTACATAGCCTAGCTCTGACGGACCTGACTGCTTTTTTTTGAAAGGTTTTGTATCTTTCAGCTAATCACTGCATGCGTTTCTTGCCCTGTACCCTTGCTCTTCTGGGAAAGTTCTTTTCTGCAAATGTTGCCTTGTTGCCGTCTGTCGTGGAGTAGCGTACAGCACGGGATGGGTGAAATAGAGTGTCAAAACGACACACCAATTTCGCTCTACCAGTACGATACGAGTAAAACAGATGTATTCTTTCACGATTTTGAGAAAGTCCCTGTTGGAATCAATGTTGCCGTGGACACCGTGTGGCCGTCCACCACTCAGCATTGCCTTGCTTGCCATGCTCCCATTCTAGTGTGGAGTCCCTGTTGCCGTAGACGCCGTGTGGCCATCCCCACTCACCAGGATAGGTCAAAAGATCAGCCCAGCCATTTCCAATGAGGTGCATACCGTTGTACGCGTCTTGAGACGGTGAACTCAAATCTGTCTTCAGAATTTGCGGAACGATTCTCTGAGCGGAGTTATGGAGGGATTTATCCCCGCGTGGTTGTTTTACATGCTATCGCGAGGAAACGTTCAAGCGTCTTTACATAAATGTCTGGTGTAGTGTGAAACGTGGTAGTAGAGACCACTTATAGCGAGCGGTTCCCTAGGCGAGATGTCGTGGGATCGGTTCCTGGAAGGTCGCCTGTTTTGCATTTGTTCCAAGAACATGGCCGACAAAGCTTCTAACATCTCTGCTCGCCTGCACTACCTCTAAGGGAACCTGCGATCGGTTTTTTTTTTCGAAACTGTAGACCCAATGTGGCAAGAAGGAGAGCTTGTGCTTGTCCCTCTCGTAACACATGTTACAAGAGGGACAAGCACACGAGCTAACCCCTATGTAAGGTTAGCTTTCCTACCGGAACCTGGATGCGATCACGGGCGATAAGCAACCATATCATCGAACGCCAGCTGATCTCGTGATCTCAGAGGTACGGTAGTTGGTTTTCCCTATGAATTATGTGATGGGTTAGGGGGTCTCGAAGGTCTCGTAGGGTAGTATGACATTTGATCGTTTAAATCATAAATTGATTTCCACTTCCAGGCTCCGAAGAAGGCAATCGTGCCGAAACGTTAGCCGTTCACTGTGTATACCAACCTCGTGTGAAGTTTGAAAGCAAATAAATATTCAACGATTATGCGGAGGTTCATCGAAAGCCGGACATGGCGACATGTAACAAGGGTTTTTGCAATGAAATACCATGATATTTATGTTCAGCGGGTCAAATTACCTCTGGAACAAGTTTCTAGCCGAATCTGATATTTCGACCTAACTTGGAAAATGTGGGCTATTCTATGGGTAATTAGCAGCAGACTAGAGCTCATCTACCATCGATGAATGGTCTCGAGATGGAATTTCCGAACAAGGAAAATGATGAAGATGGCACGAATAAGTGAGCTAGGTATTGTTCTATCCGAAAAGACACGACTGAAGAGTTTATCGCTGTTGGCTACCTAGTCAGCCATGGCTAACCCAACCCCATTTTTTCGAAGCTGAGTTAGAATCTCAGATTTCGCTAAGGTGCCGTCTCCAGGGGTTATTTGACCCCTGAACACAAATATGATACCTATTTCGTGAAGCGCTGTAAGTCGCGCCACAGGTGCCAACGCTTCGGCGCCAGCGCGCCCGAAGAAGAAAAACAGTAAAGAAAAACCTCCATAACTCCGCTCAGAGAATCGTTCCGCAAATTTTGAAGATAGTTTTGAGTTCATCGTCTCAAGGCGAGTACACCACATTACGAATGACCTGTTGACCTTTCCTGGTCTGCATTGCCCTGCGTGCCGTGCTGCCCTACTGTGGAGTCAATGTTGCCGTGGACGCCGTGTGGCCATCCCCACTCAGCATTGCCCTGCTTGCCGTGCTCCCATCTACTGTGGAGTCCCTTTTGCCGTGGACGCCGTGTGGCCGTCCCCACTCAGCATTGCCCTGCTTGCCGTGCTCCCATCTACTGTGGAGTCCCTTTTGCCGTGGACGCCGTGTGGCCGTCCCCACTCAGCATTGCCCTGCTTGCCGTGCTCCCATCTACTGTGGAGTCCCTTTTGCCGTGGACGCCGTGTGGCCGTCCCCACTCAGCATTGCCCTGCTTGCCGTGCTCCCATCTACTGTGGAGTCCCTTTGCCGTGGACGCCGTGTGGCCGTCCCCACTCAGCATTGCCCTGCTTGCCGTGCTCCCATCTACTGTGGAGTCCCTTTGCCGTGGACGCCGTGTGGCCGTCCCCACTCAGCATTGCCCTGCTTGCCGTGCTCCCATCTACTGTGGAGTCCCTTTTGCCGTGGACGCCGTGTGGCCGTCCCCTTCAGCATTGCCCGCTGCGTTCTGCTCCGCATTCTACTCGGAGTCACCTGTCTCCGTGGACCGCCGATTGGCCGATCCCACTCAGCATTTGCCGCCTCTTGCCGTGCTCGCATCACTACCGTGGAGTCCCCTTTGCCGTGATCAGCCGATGATGCCGCCCGCTCAGCTTGCCGCTGCGTCCGTGCTCCATCTCTGTGGAGTCCTGTGTCCCCCCCCCGCCCCGGCCGTGGAAGCGTGTGGCGTTCCACCACTCGCATTGCCGATAGCCTTGCCGTGCATCTCACATCTACTGTGAGGTCTTTTTGCCGTGGACGACCGTGTGGCCGGGCTCCCTTTCAGGCATTTGTCTCCTGCTTGCCGCTGCTCAGGCCCATCCTTACTGGTTCAGGATTCCAAAGGGCGTTCTCCTTTATGCCGTGAGCGTGTGCAAGCCCGTCCCCACTCACATTGCCTGCTGCGTACTCGCGTATCTAACTCTGAGTTATCCTTTTTCTGTGACGGACGTGGCCGTCCCCGCTCAGCATTGCCCTGCGTGCCGTGCTCCCATCTACTGTGGAGTCCCTTTTGCCGTGGACGCCGTGTGGCCGTCCCCACTCAGCATTGCCTCTGACTGTGCCCTTGCTCCCATCTACTGTGGAGTCCCTTTTGCCGTGGACGCCGTGTGGCCGTCCCACTCAGCATTGCCCTGCTTGCCGTGCTCCCATCTACTGTGGAGTCCCTTTTGCCGTGGACGCCGTGTGGCCGTCCCCTTTCAGCATTGCCCTGCTTGCCGTGCTCCCATCTACTGTGGAGTCCCTTTTGCCGTGACGGACGTGTGGCGTCCCGTACAGCCATTGCCGCTCCGCGTGCCTGCTCACCTCTACTGTGATGTCCCTTAGCAAGTGGAACGCCGTGTGGCGTACTCACTCGAGGACATTTGGCCTGCTTCCGGCTCCCATACCTACTTTTGTCCCTTTTGCGGGACCGTGTGGCCGTCCCGCTTCGCATTGCCTCTGGTGCTCGTGCTCCGAGCCAATCTACGCTGTGAGTACTGTTGCCGTGGACCCCGTGTGGCCGTTCCCCACTCAGCTTGCGCTGCCTGCCGTGCTCACGATCTACTGTGAGTCTTTGCAGTTGGACGCCCGATGTGCGCCAGTCCGGCTCACATTGCCCTGCGTGCCGTGCTCAATCTTAACTTCGTGGAGCTGTTGCCTGACTGTCGCCCGTGCTGGTCGTTCCCACTGCCAGCATTGCCGTCCCTGCTACCACGCTTGCCGTGCGTCCGGACATCTACTAGGAGAGTCTCCTTTGGCGGACGCCGTGTGCCTGTCCGCTTCAGCATTGCCCCCCTGGTGCCGCTCCACTCTACATGTGGAGGTCCCTGTTGCCGTGACGCGTGTGGCCTGCACTGAGTAGATACTCAGTGACTAATTTACCGAGCAAGTACCGAATACACCGCATTCAGAAATTTCATTTGTCAACTAACTAAGATCAGGTGAGCTTGACAGGTCGTGCAGAATAGTGGAGATCATTGGGTGAAGCGATTGCCGACTTTATCTCATGGCTTGTTAAACTGCTTGTGTTGGAAAATCCACTGGACCACTCTGGCTTGCAGCGGGGACGAGTAAATACGTTACTGCTGTCCGCTCGCGCAATTTGATGATCATCAGGACGACAGATGAATAGACCCACATCTTCAGTAGGTATTAGGCCCTGCCTTCAATTTTTTGAACAAGGAGGTGGCAGCATATATGGGGCTTCAAGTTTTTGACTCTCACCTCAGTACCCCATTACGAAAATTGATTACTTCGTCAGTCAGATCGATAGCCATTCTCGTTGTCGGACTAGGAAGTAGGCCCATAAATAAGGCACTGTTTCAGCCGCCACGAGTGGTGACTTTTCCCCTGGTTTGAGAATTGCATACTACACCAAAATTGCATGTTGTTCTTTAATGTTGACAAGTTGCTTTCGAAGGACTCTGTTCTTCAAAACTCAATTAACACTTACATTTCTCCTTATGTCAATGCCACAAGACGACAGTCGAGTGAGTGATAGAGTAAATTCTGGCGTGGTCGAGTTCTCTTCAGCCGAATAAACGACGAAGCAATCCGTTGAACGCCGTTGATTTTTGATGAAAATCTGAGAAAGCAGGTTAATTAAACTGTCGGATATTTCAGAGTCTTGTATAAAATGTGAATGGGACCTATAGAAAGAGGGGATCAAGATGTCGTTCGGGTTTTGCAATTGCCTTGCTTCAATAAAAGGAAAGAGTCACTACATTTACTAGGGCTGGTCAGCAATATATTCACATAATTAATCAGTCGAAAGTTGAGAGGTTCTAAAGAACTATCGACATTGTCAATCCTATTTTAACCGAGGCACATATCGACACCATTTTTTATCCCCTTATGATAGCACGAATCTGTCCCTAACCACCCTAGCCCGGAATGGAGAGCTTATTGGCCTTGATCTCTTCAATCATGGCTTCGATGCCCCGGCCCTGCACGTGTCGCAAACACCACCTAAGGCTGCGTTTATACTTTGCGGCAGCGTAGCGTAGCGTAGCGCAGCGTAGCGTAGCGCTTCCAGCGTACGCCAGCGGGAACGCCAGATCGATATCTATCCTTTCCCCGACACTGCCGCTGGCGTACGCTGGAAGCGCTACGCTACGCTGCGCTACGCGCTACGCTGCCGCAAAGTATAAACGCAGCTTAATTTGTTGTTCTAGCGGTGCCGTCAGAGAAAAGGTCATCCAAAAGAAACTTGCCTCGGAGAGCAGGGGTAGAAATTGGTGTCGATCATCCCATGGTCTAGAGATTTAGAGGACATTCAAAGAAGTTTGCCCACGAAGGTCGTTTCCAGGTGCCGCATATGCCCTCATCGTGTTCCCCCCATCGTTTTGAGGACTTTATACTTTTAGAATGCACTGGCGATTATCCTCAGCTGTAAGCAACTGAGCAGTGTGCTATAACCGGTCTAGTCTGACGGTCATGTCTACTTGACTACGAGGCTGCCGGATTGTGGTATGGCTTTCTCACTGTTCTTATTTCTTACGTCTCAGATTTTGTCATCGACTTCTCAAGGTGAGTGAACAAGATTCTTAAGGTGAGTGAGTGTAGTCATGAAGAACTTCTGTGTACATGACTCTGTCTTCAATCTCTCTGAAACTCTTCATCTCTACGGGGGCATTACATGTGATGAACTCACCAATTGGAAGGGGAATAACACCAGCAAGACTCACCTGGCCTTCAAAGACATCTTCGCTTTCACCTTTCACCCGAATAGCGTCCGGACCGCATGTCACTTTCGGTACGTCTGAAAATTCTTAGAATTTCCTATCGTGAGCTTTCAATCAAAGGGAACCTGTGGGCTGGTCTCTCCTAGTACTATGAAGCGGCCGACCAAGAATCCATCAAGAAGGCGAGGGATTTCCATGAATTTTTTACGCTTATTTTCAGTGTAATTATTTGATATTCCCTTTTATATTTTTCCTAACAGTTCCTTACTTCACGTTTCCAGAAGGCAGTTGACAAGTGCAGGCATGACATCGAAGGTCAATTTCTGAGTTCACTAATAGTCTGCATCAACAGGGTATGCAGTGGAACAGGACGGAAATCACATGCATTGCGCTTTATGCACTGGGAGGGGCGCAGCAGTAAGGGAGGCACAATGGTTGTAAGTTTCCGCCCATTTCTCCGCCACCAGCTATCGTGAAGTTTTGTTGGTGTGAGGTTGAGGTTTGTTGTGCAAGTTTTGTGCATCACAGTTATCCAGCGGAATGAGGGATAAAAGACTCTATTACTGGAAATTGCATTTTGCGTGCCCCTCTCAAACAAGAACACTTTCGGAGCGAACTCCTTGTGTTCATACTTGACCCCATGCTTCTGTTTCATCTTGTTATTCAGGCTGATCTTCATCATAAATAGAGGATACCTTCAAATCAAATAATCGAGGAAAACGCACCGATTAGTCTGTTGTCCAGGGTTTTCGCTTCAACGGTTCTTGCCTGGAAATAAATTGATTGGAGGAAGAAACTAGTTATGAGCAATCCTTCAAGGATTTCTATGCCCCCAAACTTCATGTGAAAGTGCAAGAGTTCAATCTTGTGGGTGACTCGCCATGGCAAAGAGTTTTGCTCAGAAGGAAGGCCATTTTTGCAGTGACTGGAAGGTTGATTGCTTGTGAGCGGAAGACTCAATTTTGGTGGTTTTTGTGGGACTGGCGACGCTTGGATGCGAAGGTCGTTCTAATTTGAGGTAAAACCGCGTTCGTAGAACCAGTCGCATATTTGGAAATCGTCTGTACGGGTAATGGTTGTGTGGAAGGAGTTCAGGCAACGGCAGGAGGAGAATGCGGAGAGGCGTCCGGCTCGTTCTACTAGTATTCGTTACGTACTGATTTGAAAACATGTGAGTCTACTCTGACCAAATCCTTGGGATCAGACAAGTATCGAAACTTCTGTATTTCGAATGTTCCAGATGATTGAACTGAAAGGCTAACCCTCGGAATAGGGGTGCAGGTAGAGAGTACCTCCCTTGCAATTAGCGGGCATTTTCCTCTGCCAACCCTTCTGAATTTCTGATAAGATTTTGAACAGTCTAGAGATTTTGTGCGCAGGATTGTTTCGCTCGCCAAAATTTCCATATGGTCTGTGTCATCCTAAGTTCCTAATATTCACGAGACATAGCCTTTCGACCTCAATCCTTCTTGGCCCGCAAACAAAATTGTCCGCTCGCTGTGGTGCATCTTTTATATCCGTAGAGCTGGCTACATTGTCAAAAGTTATGCATGTTGGCACGCAGAAACTGCTTGGAATAATCGCATGAAACATGTGGGTACTTCAGGGCTCTGGCACAAGAACCACCGATCAGATAGGGTAGGAGCGGCCCCGGTGGCGCAGTAGATGACGTAATCGCTCGGTCTGCAGGAGAGACGGGTTCGAATCTCGCCTGAGGTGTGACTTTTGCTCATAACTCAGCATTCTTGTACTTCGAAGTAGATGTATTGGTGGGGTTGCGTTGCGACATAATTTCGCGTGGCGTTCCCACCAAGTACTTCTTCTCGTTCCCTCCCATCACTTTCGCGGAAGCCCAGAAAAACTTGCTGATGAGCTCTCTTTTGTCCCCGAGCCGACAGTATTACTTTGCTGGGTTTGGAAGACCTTATGAAATGGTTACTTCCGCCTCATGCCTCACTTGTACACTGGGGAAAAAGAGCCGGCAAAGTAGGGCATTCGCGCACACACTTGTTGTGCACGCATCGCTCCCATCCATAAGGTCAAAACACTCGTTCACCTCGTCCTGAGCCACCCCATCTATAAAGCAGTCAGTATAAAATACCCACAATAAGCTGATTAGTGCCCGCTAGCTATTCCCCCCCCTCCTGCCCCTGATCCTTCACTGAGGGTGAGAACATTCCTCACCGTTGGAGATCCCGTTGAGCATAAAAGTAACCATCGTCGCACTTGAAAATTGCCATTATTAGATCTACTGAAAGGGCTACATTGCTACAGCTGAGACGACCAGGGTACGTAGCGCGTTGTGTTCTCCAACAGTGCGCCGAGGAGGAACATCCGCAGGGTCAGCCTGAGCCAAAAAGTACTTCTTAGAGACTATTTGAAACGGCGCTTGAAGGCACTGATTGCAGCATAATTTGAAAGAAGCGGACAAATGTCACTCATCCTCATGTGGGCGGAGTAATGAGTGGTGAGCGGCTCTGTCATCGTTTCGCTGTTTCTGCTCACGTAAAAGCGCAAACAGAGGAGACAACCCACGGGGAAGTGAACCTAGGGTAATGAAGAAAGTTTTCAACGATATCTCAACGAAGTGCACCGCACCCATCAGCTGGCGTTGCCGCAAAACTGCTATTCCTTAGTTTCATCCCCTTCTGCGCTGGTTGGAAAAATGTTGGATGTGCGAGAAGGTCGTAGCGGATGAGAAAGTTTGGAGGGGTCGTATTTTGCAGAAGTTCTCCCCAGCATCAGGATACGCCGTGGAGCCGACATAGTCCCTTGAAGCTACCTGCCTATAGCTGGAGGGTAATCAAAAGTTCTGTCAGAAGAAAAGAAAAAGAGTTGCTAGGGTTAAAAACACATGTTGTTATCACAAAGCAGCGGATAAGACCCCCACCTACCAAATGTGTTACCCAAAAATCATCGAGAGTTTTGCGTAACATTGCTGGAACAATTCAATGTTGAACTAGCACAATGTGCACCGAAGATTGTAGGGAGGACACCATAAAAAGTCTCCGCATCTTTCCTATTCTGACGAATTATGTAGATATCCTTAAGGATTTGTAGAGCAGCGATGAGATTCCAAACATTGGTTTTAGTTCCTGATAAGTCCGCCGTGAGATAACTTGGCGTGGAGTCACGGTCACCGCGTATACGATCGTTAACCATAAATGGGCATTGTAAAATGAAGCCAATTAAATTTTCAGGAAAGTTTCATAGGGAGGAAAAACTTCTGGAAGGAGTGGCCATGAAAAGAACATGTTGAGGGACCACACAGCAGAAGTTTCGAGCAAACAACAACAACAACAAGAGAAGGCTATTCGTGAGGAAAGTTGAGCGAACGACTCTGTGATATAAAAAAGTCACTCAAGTTTTGTTAGTGAAACGAGAAGTGACAAAAGTAGTCGAACATCAGGCTGTGTTCGTAGACCCCTGAAGCCCTCTGCCGGATTCGAATCAGGTTTCCTTTGTTCATCTCTACATTAAACTCTTCCTTGTGAGCTTTCTTCTCGTAGAGCCTTCTCTTCTTCTTATTCAAATTTTCAAATTTCTCTAATCCATGCTCTCATCATTTATTCGATCATCTCCCCTTCACTAGTCACATCTTTCAGGGATGTTGCTCTCTAATTAAATTTTCCGGAATAATTATTGGTTTCAACTTACAGCGTCCCATTGAGTGCTCGCGCAGACTTGTCTAATGGCGGAATTATTAATGGGATTTCAGGACATATCTTTTTGCTAAATTGTTCCTTTCTCCCTTATCTAATTTGAAAGAAATCATTCCCCAAATGCAGTTCTTATGAAAGTGTGAGGTTTGCTGTTCACCGAAACAGAAGCAGAGAGACCATCGAGTTATAGAGGTGGGTAACTGATCGGGAATGCGATAAGGATGTGCTCGACGTCCACAGTAGGGGTTCGTCTGCCAAGGTTACGAGGGTCGACCTTTTGCAACCTCTTCCGACTACCACCTTTCCTCAGACTGACATGCCCCGCGCCGTCTTCTCCTTCATTCCGAGAATTGTCTCAAGTGGCTGCCCGCGACATCGCCAGTACAAGGCCATGGCTCCATTAAGTGTCTAAGGGCATTTGAAACTCTGACAAAACAATTTCAATCAAAACTCATCAAAACAGTAGATAGGGACATGATTTCATTCAATAAGAGGAAGTACTAGATGTTGTGAGGTTCGCTTCATCCCTAAGACTTCTTCAAGAATTCCATGAGTGGGGTTACCTGCGTTGAAAGTCCTTCTAGACTATTTCCAAGTGCAAAAAAGTGTTCTACAGCAGTTTGTAGTCGTATTGGTGGAGCAATTCTGGTACTATCATGTCCCACGAGCAGTCTAACGACATCGAAAGCTTCACAAAGTGAAAGGTGAAAGGGTCAGCTATAGAAATCAGTCAAACACCATGAAGACCTAAGTGAACCTAAGAGATAATTGCAGCTATGAGTTGAGAATTGGAGTGGGCAATGCGCCAAAATGTTTTGATCGGGTGTTTTCCGGCCTTAACGCCAATGGCAGCTTCAGCTGAAGCCTCCTTTGCTTACATAGATGAATTCATTCAATGTGTAATGGCTAAAAATGTTCAAGAGCGGGTAAAGAATGAGGCCAATCACTCATAATTATATTGGTAGGTTAGGTTTGATGAACGGGGTCACCAGAGTAATTGCAGACCGCAGTAGTTTTAGATCGGCCTCGATCTCTCAAAAAGGTTTTGTCACGAGAGGCCCTGGGCCAGTGAGGTCTAGAGGCAAAAACGCTGTGGTACGAACTGTTTTAGACGCTGGCGCCGATAGTTCTGGGAGCGATGAGGCGAGAATTTATAAATGGCAGGATGAGACACCATTCCCCTGGAATTGGGCGGCCTTTTTTGAGGGAAAGATGACTGAACTTGCCGAGGACATTTAGCTAAGGTGCAGTGTAACAGCGCCAGGCTGAAGTAAATTTCGGAACTTTCGCACTCTTCTCTCGAAGAAAAGACGAAGGAAAAGGGGCAGCGGAGTAATGAGGATTGGGTAGAAATAACTACAAAGCATCGTAAAAACTTATTATTCTCCCATATTACCACGAAAATCCTAGGGGTATTGCTCATTATTAAGGCCGTAATATGAACCTAGTCCAGAGCCAACTTTCCAGTGGATGTTTGTTTGAAGACGATCGAATAAAATTGGTGCGACAAAGACGATTTTATAATAAAGCCTTGAAGTATAAGATAGGCACTAACCTTCACGAAAATAAGGACCAGCGGCCACAACATCGCGAAAGTGCACGCGAGTGTGAGTTGCAACCCCCAAGAACGCAATCTCACCGTGTCGATCGTAAATATGAGGGCGGAGCCGGTAGAAGGTCACTCGTTGGATAAGTGGATTTGTTCGGTAGCAGGAAATGGGAACAGGTCTGTTTTGGATGAGGCATAGGTACTCTAGAACGGATGAACAGTTTTATCTGGGTTATTCTGGGAAGGAGGGGACAAGGCGACGCCGTTTCCTTTTTTGTTTCCGTGATGCACTGTACGGACTGAATATATATATACAAATGCTTTGACAGTTCTTAGCAATTGTTGACTGGGTTGAAGATGAGTGCATTGTGAACTTTCCCGGGGATTGCACTAGTTGAATGATTAACGCTTTTCACCTGTGGGAGCTACCCAATATGCCTACTTTCAAAATGTGAACTCAAAGTTCATTGTTCATCTTCCACTCTGTGATGAATTTTCAACATTATAAATTATCCTTGTGGTCACCCGGCACACCCAGCATGAATGCCGAAAATACTTGGAAACGCCCGCAACAATGTACAGCCATTTCAGTACCCGGCTATTTCATGGGGAATTTCCCCGTTAAGAGCATGGCGTGCTCTGGGAACTCTTCTGTGACGGACGCCGTGTTCCCACTTGGGAATACCCTTTTGCCATGGAAGCCAGGCCAACTCCCGTGTTTTGCCTGTCTGATTGGCTGTTTGAAATGTATACCACACTTTCGCCATTGCGACTTTGTCTTGCATGCCCAACGAGCTACTAAAGGAGCTTACTTTGCAATTACCAATCTTCGTCTTCCGGTGAAAACCATAAATGCTCCTTACCATTAGGAAGAGTCAGAGAGAGAGAGCGTTTGACCCCACCTGTAATGAGTTCCACTCTTGCCTGTAGCTCACAGTTAACACTCAACATTGCTCTGTCTGCTGTGGCCCCGCGGAGCCTCCTGCTTGCCATAAATGTCGCGTTTCTGTTTAATCCTCACTATCCTGCACCGTTCAGCTACTGAACGATGTCACCCTTCCCACTACATGTGTATCGTGCCCCCCCCCCTCCTCCTCTGCTGTGGAGTTCCTCTGTGCACTTCACAACTGGGGATGGGGGGGGGGGGAAACGACACACATGCGCTGCTAGGCAGCCATCCACTCAGCACGATCCCCTTTTTTCTGAATCGACCCGTTGTCCTGCTTTCTACTTTGTGTGAGTGGCACGCTCTTTGCTACCATGGCGTACCTTCTGCCCTCCGCAGTTGCCAGAAAAGGTCTGTTTTCATTCTGCAAATTCCTTTGTCCAGGTTGTAGGAGTGCCTCAATGCAAGAACTTTTCAAGCGGGATGTAGACTGTTTGATACAAGGGAATTTGTTATTATAAAGCTCCCAACGAGTCGCCTAACAATGCCGTGCTACCATGGCATCTTCTCTAATCATAAAGCTCCAAATCGAGATAAGCATCTGTTATCACTTTCAATGCCACCACGAAATAGGGCAGCTCCAGACCACTTTCTGCAGAAAATGATAAGTTCCACCTGGGCTCTTTTCCCGTTGACAAGTCCAGCCAGAATGAACTCGGCAGGGTCCGTAAAAAATTATGTTCTGAAAATCTTCTGCCTCGAAAGTCGGCCTTGGTCATTCAGCGATGTTGTGTAATTCCGTAACAGCCCAACTATTGTTACTAGTCCCCAGTTCCTACAAGTCTATCATCACTCAACGTGCTGCTACTTTTCTTGACCCAGAAAAACAGTGCGACTACTACTGGTCGAATGAAAGCTGCATGATCAATGTGTCATTATAGAAGACAGGCCGGAACTCATCCAAAACCGGAAAGTGTGGAAGCTGAGAGGGAACTTGAAGGAAACGTTGGATGTTTCATATGAAAGAAGCGCTGCGCTGAATGTTTATTGAAGTTTCTTGCAGAAGGGGAACGTTGTGGGGGAAATGATGGGCTTGTTCTGCATGCTAATGGGAAATCCGTTTCCTAGACCAACTTTATAAGAAAGTTTCCCTCGTCTAACATATAAACCAGTATGGTCACCGATTCACCATATAATTTTCCGATTATGTATAAAGGCAGTCAAAAATCCCTGCAATATGGAACGCTATCCCATTTTCCACCCATTTCATGGCGAATTTGTGCATGAAACCATAACCTGCTCTGAGGAAGTTCTTTTTTTGCCATGAACGCCGTGTCCCCACTTATTGTGGATATCCCTTTTGCCGCGAGAGTCACGCCTTGTTTTGCTGTAGCGCACTTTCGCCCATTCGCCCTGCCCTGCAAGCCGGTACTGGTCCACCTACTGAATGCCGCGCTAGCGTCCATTCAACAGTGCTCTGCAGGGCCTGGTGAAGTTCCTAATCGGTTTGCCATTTTCCATCCCCACCCGGTCTGTTATAAAATCCCTTCCTGGCCGCAGATGGCATGTTACCGCCTTCCCAAGTTTGCCTTGATCGCCGTGATTTCATTTACTGCCCATTACTTACTGTTTATGAAATGCTTAAATATGGTACGAAGCGGTAACCTTAGCCGGAGCGCGATCACTGTAGTTTCTAAAACATTATAACAAGCTGCTCTTCATTTCTGCAGGGTTAGCAGAACACGGGCACGGGTATACTTGAGATCTGCAAATCGGTTTCCATGGGAAACCCTTCCTCGTAGAGTATGTGTACAGGGGGGGGGGCAAAAAAAAGTCATTCCTGCCGAGTCACATATGAGCGAAGTTTTCGCAGCCCAGACAGAGGAAGTGGATATGAGTACCAGGGCGGAAGATGCCCAAGATCTTCCTCTATAAGCAGGAGCCGGCTGCCGCCATTCACCTTCATGTACACCAAAATATGAAGTCATCTCCAGTCGCGACCTAAGTGGAGAACGCCTTTGGAATTCACGTGGCCTCCTAACAGCTGCGGAACTTCTTGAATGGAATCACCCATGGATAGCTGGAGACCAGTACTCTTGATCTGCAAGAGCAAACATCGAGCAGCTCCGCCAACGTCGCTACGGTCAAGGACATCATCTCCACCCCATTCACCAAGGCGCGGGTTGATGGTGTGGACCGACCGTACCTGGAATGAACAGACCAATATTTTCTCCGTGGGTCCCAGACTGAGGGTGTGCGCTGGTGGCTACATCGAGCAACTCGAGGAGAATATCCCCTACATCGAGCAACTCGAGGAGAATATCCCATCTTCATCGTCACCCGTACCTTCTTGGAAACTTTGTACTGCTACAGGATTGGGTGACAACACATTTAATCGAAGGGCGTTGGAAAAACTTTCGCCTACTTAGAATGGAAGAATGTTGAGTACCTGGAAAAGATGGAGTATTTAAGCAGGGGTCCTGAACTAAACCCCCTCAATTACTCGGTTCGGGCGGAGCTCAACAGGGTGGTCTACAGTGGCGGAGACATCAACGATCTCGCTCAACTCCGGTACCCACTCTTTTTCGCGCGGCCGAATCTCTCGATGGCGCTCCTCCAGAAGGCTGTGGCGGAGTATTATAGTATTTAATGTGCTCTTTAATACGATAGTAAAAATGTCCGATAAAAATTCAATTAAGTGTAACTTATAGAGCCTTGAATGTCATGGAGGCAAAATGACTTTTTTTTGCCCCTCCCCCTGTAGTTATGAAAGCGGAGCCGTGGCCACCGCACGTACGCGAAGCTCGGAATAAACCTCATTTGGGCCAACCAGGTCATTTCTTCCAAAGGTGGACGGAGGGTAAAATGCTGGCTCGTACTTGGCTGACTCACCCTAGTGATTTTACAGTGGAATACACCATTGTTTCTACAAGGCACACTTTGAACATATTGATCCATACTCTAATTTAGTTCTTTACTATAGCTCTCGTAAACGGCGCTCTTCGTCGGACACATCGTCCCTATCCTCCCATCCGTCCAAGTCGAAATCGGACACTTTTTCATTTGTGGTATTTCCCCACGATTATGATAGATTCTATATGGGGCCTAGATGGGGCTCATATAGTGGCAAGTGGCAGGTTTAGCACGCGCGCGATTCACTGGTCAAATCCTGAGTCGGCTCCCGCCCAGGCCAACTAATGCTTCTGGTCTCCATCGACGGTGAATGTTTGCCATTGCCAGATCCGTCCGGGAGAATAAAAACACTCCTGTAAACTTGCTGCACTCAATAAGCATCACACTCAATAAGCCACTGCGACTCTGAAGGGAAGTAGAATGCGCGTCGCATCCCAAAAACGGATTGATCAAGGGCCAAGACTTTATCCTTTGTCCTATAACCTGACGTTGACATCTCTGCTCGTCTGTGATGTGACACTTCAAGGCAGTGGTTACTATAATTCGCTACTCTGCGCAAAACGGGAGCAAAGGCGCTCTGTAGTGCACAGTAGACCTAAAGGGGGCGAAACGGTCTAAAACGCTGACTGAAATAGGGACCTTATTAACCGCTTTAATCAGAAAGTGTCCAAGTCTACGCCTGAGACAGACCATCGCTCGTCAAAGATTGTGAAAAAATCAGGGCGGCCGCCGAAGATTTGTGGGAATTAAGTGGAAAAAGTCAAAAATGTAAAAAAAAGTCTAATGCGCCAAAACGGGCATTATTGCAGAAAAACCTTGCAGTCTGCCTAGGAAAGATTTATTTCCGCTACCAGTACGACTCACCTCGTCTGAAAGATATCTCAGGAAGGGAAAACTAAGCGCCATTCAGCCGCGGGTTGAAAACAGCTGATCGGACCGTGATCAATTGCTAATCAGTGCTGCCATTTGTGGGCGTGTCATTTATGGAGGGGGTGCGGCTTGATATGTTACGCTCTGCTAGGATGCTTAGAGGCCGTTTCTCGTTGGAAAAGGCATAACGTAAGGCTTCCCCAGGGCCCGCGGAATTCTTTGGTGATCGACGTGTTCATCTCACATGCCTAGGGGACTTATCGTGCCCTTTGCCTTTAAATCAATCTATGGCAGCCCCCTTCTCCCCCTCATCCCAAACAGTCATGATCAGCGGCATACGTAAATGGTTGGCAGGTACATGCATGGAAAATCCTGCACGTTCAGAATTTTTCTTCCCTTAATGGGCACTGCATGACGAAGAATTTCCGTGAAAATGCCCGTTTTTATGTTGAATAAGTTATACCACAATAGATAGCATCAAATGAACCTTGTGTGAGGGCCTTATATAGCACCACTGGGGAGAAAAAAAGGTTGAGTTAACCTCGACAGTAAGCAGAGCTCGACATAATGAGGCGATTACATTTGGAGATTGAGAATCGTCTCCATGAAAGCAGCTTAAGCACCGAGAGTTGAAGTAGAACAGTAGAATATGGTAAGATTGTTGACCAGATCGACATGACTGACCAATTGAAATTTGGATACGGGCAAGAGAATCGTAATTTACCGCTCGGCCGCGCGCGGCGATAGGAGCACCGGACTGTCGATTGGAGCACCGGATTTTATGTGGACCCCGTCATTGTAGACATTCATGACCATTTTCGGTTTTGAATTGCCTGTTGTCGCCATCTACCTGCAACCATCGTCAATTGCGGCGCGATGTCGCACGCGACACCCACAGCGCGGCGAATTACGATTCTCTTGTCACACACCCATTGAAATTTGAATCGTTTAAAGGTGTTCCGACCAAAATGGACATAGTTGCGATGAATATCATTTTTGCGGGTATCCTGGAGCATATAGAATTGGCAAGCTATCAAAACGAATGAAGGCAATGGAGTACTGAGTAAAAGGGAATCAAAAGGAGATTGCGAAAAGAGCAAAAAGAAAGATGAGCTGTGAAAGAAGCGAGGAATATCTTTCCTATTGAACATGAGTGGTCTTTACTGTACAGCTTCACAATCACCATCGTTTCTTCATGCGGTCCTGAGCGTGTTCGATGACGGCGCGCAGACCATCGGCGTCCAGCTCGTCAAGCAGGACAGACACTGCCGACATGATTTTTTCAGTACGCATGTCCTGTAACAGAAGGTTTAGTTCGCCTACTGCATGATAGAAACTTGCTGTTTTGATGAGTGTATAAAAGAAAATATGTCTTGTCTATATCCCTTCAGACTCTCTTGGGAGACTTTTAGGGCTTCTTTCTTTGAAAATAAGGAAGTCTTACCCGAGCAGGACTACGTGATGTTTCTTTTCGAAGATGAAGACGTCTTCGTGGAGCACTGACACTTCGACTGTACGAACTGGTGGCAGGACGTGGTCGTGCTTCATGCATCGACATGGACATTCGGCTCGCTATCGCATCCATTGACATTGGCCGACTGTCTTCTTCAAGGCTGAAGCATACCTGGCTGATTCCGACTATTTTCAGTTCTGATGCCGGTATTTTTGTGAAAAAACACAAAGCGTAGAGAGAGCGGTTTGTCACTAACCTAAAATCGGCCCATTCCTCATCTCGATCCTCGGTTGCTGGCTCATATATCGATTGGGTCATCAACGATGGATGGACCGATTGGCTCATCAGACTGAGCCTGGAAACCCGTAATGACTGAGGATCTCGTGGAGGTGGAAGGCGCTCCTCATCTGACGCGTCCCCATAGCTGACCATCTGTGGCTGCATCACTGTGTCGACAATCGCTCGACCTAAAAACCCTGGGTTGGTGGTTGTCTCTGTCATGACAAGGTTAAATGAGTGACCAATGGAAACTCCGTTGACCCTTCTGAGTATGCATAATACCAGAATAAGACATGCTGATCTAGGATCTTCTGTAAAGGGCACTTACCGTAGAGCGATTGAGTCATGGGATCATGCAGGGTGACGCTGCTGCCTGCCCTCGAACTGCGCGCACTGTGCAGGCTCATCATGCTGGCATGCATGTCACATTCAGGGGCTGAGTCGTCTTGCTGGGCTTCCATGTGATCGTCAAGGGTTACGGCTGGAATAATTTCCACTTGAAAACAAAGATGGTGGCTCCACATTATTTATTTTCTCTTCGCGACTCTGTTCATCGAAATTCATACCAAATTTCTGCTTGATATCCGCCTCTTCTACCATTAACTCCCCTCCTTCTCCAACAATTCGCTCAAAATATTGCTTACTGCTCATAGCCTTTTAACATTAACACGGCTAATCAGTCAATATGCCTAAGAGAGGCGTAACATCCTTTGGTCACACACACTCTCATCAGATCAAATCAATCTTGAACCGAATCTTTTCGCATCTGTTTCAACAAAAATGTAGCGAAATCACTAGTGGGTATTTTGAGGGCTCCTATAGAATAAGGGACTGGGGACTGAACATACCATTCTTTTATCAGCATATTAGAGATCCTTCTTTAAGAACGCAGACCTATCATTGTGGGAACCGAAATATTTGATCCACTAGCCATCCATTTTGTACGACTCGATTCATTTTCAATCACTATGTTTTCTTCAATTGAAAATTAATCAGAACTGAACGGTTTGATTTTATTTTATACTTCCAACTATTCAGGTATTAGACTTAGAACTTGAAGAAGAATGAAATGAAAAACTCACGCCGATCGTCGAGTTTCGTCAATTGGGGCAATATCCGCAGTACACGATGGCGATAATCGCCCGATCGGGTGCACGGATTTTCGTCGATCCACAGCACGCGAAGATTCCGTAAGTCCTTTGAATGTCCTTATATCAGTCACTTTATACAGTTTCCTATCATAGCGAGTTTCATGGCACATAGCACCTTCTCGAGCCATTCGTAAAGGGGCCAAGTTCAGGATGAAGCATCGGAGTGGGTGAAATGGCTATCCGTTATGAACCCACTCCTAAACCTATCTAACATCTTCCAAATTTTCTCAAGATTTTGCAATCGAATGATGCAAGAGAGTGAACACCTCCGACTAACTATCTGGTATAGGTTTACTGCTTTACCGCCCTATCAGGTTGAAGTAGAGGGGGTGAGGAAGTGCGCGCGAAACGGAAAAATTAACAATAGGAGAAAATTCTCCCGTACGACTTCTCGCCCTAACTTTCCCACAACGATGTGGTACCCTGAACATGCTTCTTTGAGAGAATAATTTTGACTAAATTTGAATTGACTGTGGTATGTGTTGTGTGTGTGTGTGTGGTGTGTGTGTGTGCGTGTGTGTGTGTGTGTGTGTGTGTGTGTGTGTGTTGTGTGTGTGTGTGTGTGTGTGTGTGTGTTGTGTTGTGTATTTTTAAGAGCTGTCGCTAGGTTTTCAGTTTGGCAATTCGTGTAATTGGTGGATGAGTCATTGGAGGCCCTCCGACCGCTTTACCTTGTTATTAGGGACAAGTAACCTGTTTCGCTTACAAACATCCGGTACAGGAATATGACAGCAGGGTTTAATGCTACATAAAACTTGCTCATGGATTCTTATTATTTTAATCAATGATCAACTAATATAATGCGGAACTTTCCATATCGCATCATTTTGATGGCAGAAGCGGTGAACTACGATGAGCTTGGTGGAGATGAACTTTTGTAGGCAGAGATGATGTCAGTGCCCAATGCAGAGGGGGGGGGCAGACAGCAGCTGGAGTGGTTAGGACTACACGAGAGGTCACGGCTGCCATGTTCCCGCCTCGCCGCGCGCGGCGATTGCAACTGATTTTTTTTTAGAGCAACGTGTCGTGCGATTAAGATCCCGTCCCTTCACATATTTCTGGCACGAACAGGCGAACCTGCTTGGGACTTTTTCAAACCAGAATATTCAATGGGCCGACAGTATTTTTGAATGGCAGCTGTACTTATTCGACGGGTTGCTGTATTTCTTCAATAAGACCTACTTTTACCGTCTGGCCGAGAATCTTAAACCTTACAATATCTTACAATTGAGGCGAAAATAAGGATTCACCATTGAAAAGAATTTTCGTAGATTGCTGATGTATTCTCTAATTATTCTTTCTATGCTAAAGTTAGTGTGTATTATACTAGTAGTTGAATATGGGGTCCATTCCTTTCATAGCCTTCACACCTGCCAAGTATAAAGCAGACGGTTGGAAATCTCATGAACTATGCAAAAAAACACATAGTGAAAGCATCGCGGAGAGCACCTCCGCGGCAGGCTGACCTCTCGTGGAGTCCTAACCGTTCCCCCAGCAGCTGTTGGAAGTTGGAAATCCAAATTCAAAAATTCAACCTTTTTCCTTCATCTATACTGAGGGTTCTCCTGTAGGAAAGTGTTTCCGACCGGCTAGTTATAAGGCTACGGCATGTGACAAGACAATCGTAACTTGCCGGGGGCTGGTAATGTCGCGCCACGCGCGGCAACTTGGTAGCTCACAGCTGTGTGTGTACAAATTTTATGTCAACTCTTCCTGTTTGATAGAGCGCTAGAACGCGAACGAGCATCAATTGAAGGCAGCGCCCATGTTCACTTGATGTTCCTACGCCATTTCTGGATATCATAACCCTCCCCATAAGGATGCAGTATGTACTAGTTTTGCATCTTAGAAAGGCGAAAGGATAGCGCCTATCGCTCGTGAAGAGTCGACCGCCCCGCCCACCTGGCGACCACGACGCCCACCTTCATTTCTAAAGGTTGCCTGATGGTGCGGTTGTTCCATTGCTGCTTCTCTCCACGTCGAGTGGTGAGAGTGAGATGATAAGGGGAAACAGCTGAAATCAACAAGTGAGAATTCGTGCAACAACTCCTTCTCTTCGTCTTAAGCACGTACAACCGCTGTTCGATATGAAACTCCTTACAGGACATTTTGCATGTTTTTTTTATTTTTCTTCACTAATAGGTTTCTTGCTACCTTGCTATTACTACCTGAGCCGCATACTCATCAGATCTGAACGCGGGCGCTGCTTTTAAGGATGTCAGTTTCCTTGTCGTTAAGGCACATCTTGCTCGAATCGCCGCGCTCACTGCCGCATTATCCGCCGCGCGCAACTACGAGACAGATTACGATTATCTTGACCGTTTCCTATGTTGTATGACCCAATATGACAGGGAGACTTAATTGTGGTCCAAAAACTACTGTGTACTTGCACTAGGACACAGTATCCGGGGATGGATTTGTTCTTTGAGCTGACCATGAGCTGGACTGCTGCTTACCCACCATGTCCGTTCGAGCATGTTCATGCGGGCGTGCATGGTGTGCGATGGTATTGTGCACGTGCGCCAAATGAAGGTCGTGCTTTTGTAGTTGGGAGGTCCATGGTTCTGTGGTTACTGCATGGTAGCTACAGCCTGTGCGGGTCGGCATGGGCCTAACAAGGGAGGACATTCAGGTCGTGGCGCACTTTTCAAAAATGGTTCATTGTAGAGGTCCATATAAGGATCACAGAAATGGGTTTCGGTTTTGCTGTTCGTTTATGAGATAGCCAAAAAAATGAGTGGAGAATTTTTCACAAGAAAGGGCGATTCAAACCATCATATTGAGCTCTATTCTTGCTGTAACTTTGAACATGCGTAGTTTATGAGGCGTTCCTTAACTATGTATCGAAAAGAGAGCAAAATAAAATCGAAGAGAAAGTACGGGATAGAGGTGGTATAGAAGTTACTTCAATGATTCACTTTTATGGTGGGTTGGATAGTGGGATGGGTTCTCGAAGCGCGAGGAAGTTCGTGGATCGGATCCGCTTGGAGACGAATCTTTGCATTTTTAGGATTCCCGTCTCCTTGTGTTCCTGCGTGTGTGATGATGATGTATTCAACACGGATATTTCCCATTCAAGGGCTCATTCTATACTAATAGTTTACGAACCGGACCTACTATTTAACTACTGCGCTCTCGAAGCACTATTGAGGAAACTCTTGCTGAAACTCGAACTGCTCGAGGAGAAAAATTTCGCTGAAAACCTGTATATGGGGTTATTAATGATCCTCTTCACGGTTCTGAGCTTCATAATTGGCCCTGAGGCCATTTGGCGCCAACATGGCTCTGAGTACCCCCTCTCCCTACGTGCGGGGTGCGAGAATCACTTGAGAAACTTCAATGCTACCTCATTGCTTGCCAATTATGGTACGTTTTCACCTTAACTTGTGCTGTTTTCGATGCAGAGTCGACCAAGGTCTCATTAGCTTTTCATACTCAACATTAAAAATAGAAAAGAGCCTAAAAAATGGCTCAAAATCGCTTTTCCTTAGCAAACTTTTCACTCTTTTTTGGCGTTCACGAAACTCATTTTTGTGATCTTATATGGACTCCCACAACATGCAACAAAACATTTCAAGAAAGCGCGTCACGACCTGAATGAACTCCCTTGTAAAGGGTGCGGGTGGGCCTAATTGGACAGCTTCCAGCAGATTTCTTTCCAGTTTTCACTTTGTGAGGGTAGCTAGCACAGCCCCCAGAATCCCATTTCAGATCATTTGACACATTTGAGATATTAAGGCCTTATTTTATCGCAGAAAATGTCTTTACCCGATGTTGATGTTGCGGTCATTTCGAATTCGGGAAAGACAAAACAAAACTATTGGGAATACCCTCCAAATACCGATGATTCGTTTCGCCGCTTGCTCAGACCAACCGGCGCTATTTCCGGGGCTCATCAGTGAGGTTGACGAAATAAGGACGACATAGGGAAGGTTTTGACGAAAAAGGTGGTCTAATTGCCACTCTGCTGGCAAAAGAAACTCCTCGGAATACGGCAACCTTGACCTAACCCGGTATTGGAATTGCTAGAAGCAAAAATTGGTCATCCCAAAACTACACTGACTTTTTAGCAAATAGCATTCAATGGATTTTGTAATGAATTTTCATAAAAATAACTTTGTTAGGCTAGGAGGGGTTTTAAATACCACGTCTCACCATGATGAGACCTGTGAATCCCTGTGAATTGCGAAATGGTGCGGCCGAGTTCCATGTTCACAGGAATCAACAGGTCATCTCAGGGTGGCCTATACAAGCTTAGCTGCGTCCTATCCGTTGCCCCTCCAAACAGAACTGCGCCACTTTCTTATGGATTTGAGGCGACGTACCTTGAGATACTCAAGTTCGGTGAGGCTTTCAATATTGTTTTTCCTCAAATATAATTCCACTAATCGAGTACAATTACGTAGAGGTTGTAATGTTTCAACGCGATTCACACTAAAGGTAAGAAATTACTCGAATGAAAAGAAAAATCAGATTAGAGTGAACCTCACCTCAATGAAAGCACTTCAATATTAACCATTCGTTCGCATATTGATATATCATCGATATCACAGCCCCTGGTAATAAATGATTATCAAAGATGAGAAATTAGATTGTGATTCTCTGTTCTATCCCCTAAAACTCTTCTCTTCAGCAACCCTTTCTTTTTTTTTGATGAGTGAGAAATCGTAATTTCCTCAACAAAGGAAGGTTGAAGTGATCTCTAAAAAGAGATTTATACCACCTAATGCATCTTCGGACGAATTCGTATCCCACATGTGCTGTAAATTCGAGTCACGGGGGTTCTTAGAGGGAGCATACTCACCCGTTAAACGAATATTGGCGGGCGTAAGGCTGCTTCGAATGTGAGTCAAATTGCATGATTGCAAAAATGAACCCTGCCACTAACCGCCGAGCTTCGCGCCACATTCGAAGCAGGTTTAGCCCCTCAATTCATTTAGACGGTGAGTTTTTACCCTCTCCGTGACTTTGTTCAGAGAGATCCGCAAAAATGGAGGGTGGTTTCATTTCGGATTCGTTTCGGATTTGGATTTTCCATCCAAAAACCTATTAGTGGGCACCAGGCAGGACACGTCGTGTGCTGGAGATCCCCGCGAGGGGGTCGTATTTGTTCGGTGGAGGGTTGGAGGGAGAAGGGTCGTTATAGCTTTTGATGGGGAAAGTTTTTGAGCCGAGAGGAAATGTTGAAAGACTCGCATTCCCGCATTTGGAGAATTCCACCAGCTAGGAGAACTATCTTCTATTTAAAGTGCCGTAAACTCTCCAAAGCTCTTTCGAACAATCGAAGTGAAAATATGAGGATTCAGAAATGTTTTCTGAGAAGAGTCGGCATTGTTTTCCTCACTACAGCCATTTTCTTGGTAGTGAGAAGCCGCATAATAGGCTGTTCGTTAGGAAAAGGCTCCCATTTCCATTAGTAAGTGATCCTTTTAATCCTAGTAAAGCCAACAAGTAAACGAGAACGTATTAGAAAAGGGCGTGAAAGCGCTGGCCATTGCAGCTTTTCTTCGAAAAAAAAAGCAGCGGGTGAAAGGAAAGAGAACTATTCGGAAGAGAGGGTGGTTTGGAGGAACGGCATGGCAGAATTCCCTGCATGAAGTTCGAAAAAAAGACATACCATAAGAAAGGATCTTCATCAGGGTCATGATGTTGAAGAAAAGGTCTCTTTCTACGTAGGTATCCATACAATCCATTCTACTACATCCACCGTATTTCAACGTTCAACAGGGAGGTATGAGAGGGTGTAGATGAGCGATAGTATAGCCACCGCATGCTGGAACTTATACCTGCCTATACGATAGATAGGTAGAAATACCTATACGATTCAGAGAGACCTAAGCTCAAAACCTTCTCGTGCTCTGCGCCACACCGTAATGGTACAGTCTCCCCTAGTGGGGTTTTCTGCAGCAGTCGCTTCTAATCCTTCACTTTTACCTTTTTATGTAGGCTACCACAGCAGCTGTCAGCGCGGACCCCTATACCCACGGCCTCCAGTCCCTTCCAGGTGATTAGCTACCCTATCTAAACTTTTCCACCCCAGAATACCTCTTTGCTGACAAAGTTTCCTAACAAGGAGACATCAGAAAAGCCTTTTAGCTGGTTGGGGGCCCTTTCATAGCAAGCCTAAATTAAGATTATGTTTCTCCTGGATGGATTGTTTAATCAGCTTGGCTTTCTAACGCTCACGTAATTTCCCTTGTAGATTATTGTACCCAGCTACTAGTGGACTTCTATTGTCCCAGCTTGTTGAATTTCGGAATTGGTGCTCATCCAATTTTATCGGGATATGGCTCCACCTCCAATAGCGATCCTTTTTTGAGCTTTCCCTTGACTACTCTACTCACCCCTACCTATAGCGCCATGCTTATCCATTCTACTATATGTGCCGTCTTAAAGGCACAGTCCGCCACCGCAAATTGCAGAAACGGAACTCAAATAGGCACAAAAAAGTGCTAAGTATCTGATTAGCGGAGAGAAGCAGCAGAAAAAGCAGTCCGATATGTTATAGAGAAAGATAACACAGTGGCTACTAGCTAGTAGCTAGCAGCCGGTGAAGGTCGGCATGGGCCTAAGGGGTGTCAATGGGCCTAATTAGTCAGCTTCTAGCGCAGTTTTTGCCGTTTTTCACGTTTTGAAAGTAGCGCGCCCTCAAAAATCGCCTTCCGGATCCTCCTACACATTTGAGAGGTCACAGCCTTATTTTATCGCGGAGTGTGCCTTTAAGTAGCTATCTCGTGGTATCTTGTTCCATGTCTTAATGATGCCTTGCCTTCGGCGTTTTCTCAACTGTTATCGATGAGCGGGTGCCTTTGTGCAACAGGATGGCGCACGAATATTCTCTGGGGAGTGCTGATGCGTCGGACGAGCTGAGCCGTCGGGCTTTTCACAGGCATAGACATGAGAATCCATCAAAAGATATTGAAAATCGTTATAAGAAGAAGATGGTCTGTGAGGAGATATTAGCTAGCAGCTCCAAGCCAAAATCGACCAAAAGATTTCTCAGTGACACCAATAAAAAAGGTGTGAGCAGTCGATATGCCCATTCGGTTTTTAGCATCTAATTTGATAGTGATTGATTATAATAAGAATTAGGCATTTCTGAAGGGTGTGAAGGCTTATTATCAAGAAAAGAATTTGATGATAAGCCTGAACACCCTTCAGGAATGCCACCCACCCTATGAAACCACAACTATTATCGCCCACGGGTAAAGGTCGGGAGGCGGTCGTGTAGCGCGATGATACTGCCACCAAGGTATCATGACAGGTTGGTTGCCAAGTAGGTTAACTTATCGGAATCCCTTAAAAATTAACTTAGCTTACCATAAATTCAATTTTTTTACTGCTTCGACGGTGCATTTTGTCCTTATATAGACTGTAGACTCAGTAAGGCATACCATCTGAAAATAATATATTTGAGAATGTAGAAGTACGGTAGCGAGGGGAACCCGTGCAGTACAAAAAAGTGTAGGTGTAAAGGTTTAGAGGAGTAGCTTTCCCTCCAACCGGTTGTCGGAGGTTGAAGGGTTCGAAAAGTGCAGTTTCAGACACCTCGAAAGAACAAGGTCTAGGCAGGATTAGGTTTAGGTTGACTATTTAGACGGTAAGAAGGTTCTGGCTCATGAATGTGCTCGCGTATTGTTTGCAATTTGGATCGACCAGGACTTGGCGAGAAGTTAACAATGCAATTAAAAAAAGAAGAAAAAGAAGTGTGTTCAAGAAGACCCTTCAGGAAAACAGACGGCTCGTTTCGCCTATTCCCTCGGATGGACGTTTTCCATTTTGATAGCATTTGAGGCTCATCATTGAGGGAGTCGGACGGAGGAGGAGCATCATGGATAAACCCAAGATAGTTAGTGAGCCAATAAAATCAAGTGATGCTCCAGTGACTTCAAAAGTAATGAAGCTCCTCGTAGGACAAGCCTAGTGCATTGCAGTACCAGAAGCCGAAAGCCCACGTGGGCAGACAGGAATTCAGCCCAAGCGCTGTCATGTTTGCCGTAACGTCATTTCCCCATCCTTCTTGATGATTTGCCTGAATTAAATAATTACCACGGTCCAGACTTGACTTTATACTCACCAGTCGAGCAAATGTTCTCAGAAAACATTATGTTTAGAAGATCTTGTTCTCTTATATTCCGTGCCCGCAGCGGACGTGTTCCCAAAAATGGTTTTTATTTCTGAGATTACGTGCAAACTTGGGTGTCCGGGGACGGGGGGAAGGGGACCTGTGAAACTTGTAGGGACCACATGGTAACTCTTGCAAAACAATGCAGTACCATACGAATACCATTCACTCTGGTGGCTCGACGAGCTTTCTCCAGCTTCACGAGACTTCACAGGTTACAGTAAACCGGAACTAATTATTGGCCGAAAAGTAATGGCGTTTTTTCTCGCACAAATTTTTGTAAGGAAGGTGACGAATGTTCTTAATATGTTCCACACTCTCTGAGAGATCATTTTCTACTCTTCAAGACAGTTTAGTTACCTTTCTACTATTCCTTGATCTCTCCTGATTTTTATTTCATTGAAATAGAGTGTCGGGTTGAAACCATAATGACTGTTCGACAGCAACTTTTTGTTTTTATCTCAACTCGCAAATTACAGAGGAATCTCAAAGGAGCAACTGCCAGCAGAACGCGCTCACTAACTTCTGCACGCCGACTGAGGGTGATGCTTGATAACGATAAGCAGGCACATCATAACCTTTGAACATTCCTCAATCTTTGGCATGAATCTCCGTGAATAAGGTAATTCATTAAGTTCTCAAGTGGACTCCATAGGGTATTGGGTTCGATGCTTGTCCGTGATGTAGAAATGGAAATCTTCGAATACTTGAACAATTGTACGCATTCCTAAGAGTCATGGCCTCTTGGCCATATACTTAGCGACTGGGCCTTTGCGGTTTTAGCTTTTTAATTAGAGGTAAAGAAAAAGAGAGGCTGTTGAAAATGCCCAATTTCGCTGACCTGACAATCCGTTTTGAGCAGTTAAAATTTGTAGAAAGAGGAACTTTGAAGAAATTAAGAGGACCATCGAATAGGGTAAGGAACTCTCTGCATAACAGTGTCAACCTCTATGGCAAAACTTCTGATTTTAGCGCGATATATCGAATGAGAAAAAAACGCCATTACCTATGGGCCGACCCATTACATCGGATTTCTTAAGTTGTTTCCTCCCTGAGCAGACTTCTCGCTTGAAAACCCCAAGGCTTTTGAAACTTTCAAAAGTCTTGATCTCGAGAAGCTCCATCACTCCATCTCGAGAAGCTACAAATGGTGACAAAAGGTGAATTCTCATCGATGACAAATTGGGCCCTTCTTCAAGTCAACGAATCTCATACTAACTAAAAGCGGTAGGATTTGTAGAGCCACAGGCCTTACAGTAATAGCAGCACCAACTTCTAGTACTCTCCGGTAACCGTACAATCGGCTACTGATCGCTCACTACACTCGTTGGTTGCGAAAATGCCGCGGAACGTTGCCGCCTTTGGTCAGATACAAAGGGGCGAACCTTCGTTGG